CATTTTATGAGCGTAGAGATATTTAGGAAAAAAATTACATTTCAAGACCACTCGAAGGCACAAGCTCATATTTAAATCTTACTGAACTAGATCAAGTCATTATGCACTATTAGTGACCAGTGTTCAGTTAAGATCCTATAAAAATGTTTGAATCTAAAGAATAGAAATCGAAATAAGAATGGAAAATGCAGATGATGGTAAATAGTTTGATTTCTCTACATATTCATTATCAGTCTTCTTACAAAATTGTGGTCATGTGAATATTGTGGCTTGGCAGTGGATTTGTTTTAAGGCCCATTTACACTATAGGCCATTCTTAATTTTAAAAATCATAATATTCGTTATTAATATCATTTGCATGTGATATAATGCTCATGTCTAAAGGTAGTCATAATTTGTAAATAGAAATTATTCATCTGCTACTTTGGTATTGTGGGACATTCAAATAATGAAAACTGGGATATGAAGATTGTAGATTCAGATGAAATTGCTTTTCTTGCTATTTAATTAATATGAATTTGTGTGAATGCTGTATAATCAAATATGAAGTATATATACTGTGTGTAGCAAAATGGAGCATACAAACCTGGTGCTGTTACCTGTAATGTTAATAAGAAAAAGTACCTTGTGGTCGATTGTCATATTATTTTCATCGAATGTAAGTGGGGACTTATAGTTTTGATTATTTAAGTAAAAACTCCACATCACAAAGCAGTCACTCATGCATGAATGATCAACAGAAACAATATTAGTGCCTGTCTCCAAGACCACAATATGTATTAAAGAGACGCTAGCTACAGTGCAAAACTGAATATAACTCTACTGGAACAGAAAATATTAGATGTAAGTAAAAACTTCTTGTACCTAAAGGGCTTAACAACACTAAGTAATCTCATTTCGTTCCTGTAGCACACTGGTACTTTTTGTGTTAAGAGAGATTGCCACAGTATACTGCATAAATTTCCATAGTATATTATATATATATATATATATATATATATATATATATATATATATATATATATATATATATATATATATATATATATACACACACACACATATGTGTGTGTGTGTGTGTGTGTGTGTGTGTGTGTGTGTGTGTGTGTGTGTGTGTGTGTGTGTGTGTGTGTGTGTGTGTGTGTGTGTGTGTGTGTGTGTGTGTTTAGTATAACTATTCGAAGACAGGGAGTAGAGGAGGTATATTGTAAAATATTGGAAGATACATACGAAGATAGGATAGCAACCATCGAGCTACACACGGAAGCCGATAAAATACCAATTAAAAAAAAGTGCTAGACAGGGCGATACCATCTCACTAAAACTGTTTACAGCTTGCCTTGAGGAAATATTCAAGAAGCTAGAATGGAACGGGAAGGGTAAATCTAAGATTTGCAGATGATGTTT